GACAAATTCTAGATTGGTAGGGTTTAAATGAATGAATTTGCATTGAACTCAAAAGACTTGAGCAACGTGGAGTTGATTTTGGTTATTGGAAAAGTATTTTTTAAATTATGTCAATTTGTATAAAACTTTACTATTTGTAAAAGCTTCAGGAGCGGCCAGATACTTTCCAAGCTATTTATCTCTTCATATCCTTTGGGGTTGGAAAAATTGTTTTAGTCTCACCAAATTAAATGCTCTCTAATAAGAGCATAATAAGCATACCTTAAGTTAGTGAGCATGCTGTCTTGTTCAATCTATATGCGCTTGTGTCATATATTCAATGTCCTTTTCTCCTATTTTCAGATATTTTAACTTAAGAAAAAAATAGCTAAGCCTGTTAAACCTGGCTGAAAGTTTGAATTTTAAAAACAAACAAACAAAAAAATAATCAGCTGTTTGCTACAGAATCTTATCTTATTTCTGTTCAGTTTTTCACTTTTTAAAATGTCTCAAATTTTGTCAACCACGTAGTCTTAGTAACCATTTATTTAACCAACTGGCAGTCCAGAACAACACATTTCTGTTTCTTTCCATTTGGCAGGTAGATAATTCTAATGCACTTTTATTTCAAAGTCTGAGACACCAAAGTTAAGAGGCAGATGACAATAATTTACTAGTGATAAGATTTGGCAGGGTACTCAAGCTTCCTGAGCCTTAGGTTTCTCATCAAGAAAATGGGTATAATAATTGTCACCATGCAGGCACATTGTGAATAACAAACATGAGGGGTTATTCCCAGTCCCTGGCCCAAGCCATTTGTAACACCTCCAATGACACTGTGTGTATGAGTAGTCAAGTCCAACTGCACTTCCAAAAATAGCTAAATTAACGCAGCACAATTTAAAAAGTATTAGTCCTCTACCTATTTTCAACAGCATTGTAATAATTCTTCCTCAATTTTTCTCCTTGGGTAATTTTGAAGAGAGAGTAGTGAAGGGAGAGAGGAGGAACATAGGGAGAGAAATAAGGCAATTTCATAGGGCCAGTCACTGAGTTGGAATTCTTCACCTAAACATGGCTTGTTCCGACAAGAGTAGAAAGACATTCTTTTCTACAGGGATCATGAATCCTTAAAAATACAGAGTACTTTCCCTGTGTCAGTGCAGTGACTCAGCTTCAGCAAAGAATTTCTTGTTTTCCATAAGAGTGATTACAGAACATCATTATCATCATCATCATCACTGTTATTGATCTTATTAATAATAACTAACATTAATTGAACCCTTATCTAGAGAGTGCTTAAAATAATCTGAAGTACCGGGCTAAGCATTTTGCTGGCATTATCTCATCTAGTCCTCTCAACTCACCCTATTTATTATTTGTTTTCCCCTTGGTGGTGAGAACATTAGCAGGTTGAAGTAACTTGCCCAGGGCCTCACAGTAAGTGACAGACCTAGAATTGAAGCCAAGATCTGTCTGAATAAAGCCTATGCTTGTAGCTTTTGCATTATAATAGTTCAGAAGCAAGTTTTCCCCTATCTCTATGTCATTTATAGAATGATCAGGAGCACTAGTTTGCTTACGAGTTCAGATACTTCAGTGCAATGGAGTTAGGAGGCAGAGAGGGGGCAGTACAGTACCCAAGACTAGATTATCTTTACTTCAGGAGTAAAGCAAACAAAACCAACCAAACAAACAAAAACACTGTGTAAATGATTATTTTTAGAATTGCCAGTTTTGGTTCATTGAGTAAACAAATGTTCCTAGGGTGTTAAAAAAGAATATGCTAGAAACAGGTTTATCAAGATTAAAATTTCAATAATAGTTCTAAAGAGTAAGTCAGATAAAGGTTCTCTCTCACTTCTTACTAAAACCTAGCACACAGCAAATAATTATCTAGCTTGGATCACAGAGTTTCAAAATCTTTTATTATTCAGCACACATCTTACAAAAATAATTACACTTGCCACAGCAAATGACATTAAGGAGTTCTGTGTTTGTGAAGAACTTTGTTTGTTTGACTTTTCTTAAATAAACTGAAGAAGAAGAAAAAAGAAAACCTCTCTTGAAATACCTCTGTCGCACATTTATTTATTTTTTGGAACTTAAACTTGAGTAAGAATAACAAAACATGGAGGAAAAAGTCTTTAAAAAACATTTTTGGTTAAATATTTCTTTTAGAATACAAGTACTGATGGTAATTGTTGATTAAACATACCTAGATATCCACATTTTGAAATTTCCAATAGCAGAAACATTCCCAATAATTTCTCTCCTGAAAATAATTGCTGATACAGTTTTTCGAGTTTTATCGTTTGTTTAGTTTCCTGATATAGAATTTCAGGCTACTTCAAACACCAATAGCTGACAGGTCCCAGGGAAGAATGAGTTTACAGAAGTGCCAACTAGATGTTATTATAAGATACACATTTCCAGGATCCAGTAACATTAGCAAACAGGCAAGAATAGACTCTTTGCACTTTATGTTCCAGCGTTAATGCTCAGCTGCCAAAGATGATCACATGGAAACAGGTTCCTGTGTAGAAAAATGCTTTGAAGCACAGAGGATTCTTTGAAGAAGAGCAGATGCCCAAATGTAGCACCCATATTCATCAACCATAGCAAAAAATATATATATAAAACCAAGATTTTTACACCAAAGGAACATAGTTAAACTGTTTTTGCTCTTGACAGTCACTATTAAAATATGTCAATTATTTGGCGGTCAAGAGAAATCTGTTAATCCTACCATATACTGAGTTCTTCTGTGAAAGCTCATCTTGAGTTTTATGCTCCAAGACAGTGGTGTAGGTTAAAAGTCATGACAATATCCTCTGAATAACATAACTTCTTGGATGAGCCTTGTTTTAAATTCCATGCTATGAAAGATTATATCCACTATAATATAAACTCCATGAGGTCACAGATTGTTTCAGCTGTTTTGTTCACTGATGAGGCCCCAGCACCTCAGGTACTTGGCACTTAGTCGGTACTTAATAAATATTTTTGAATGAATGAATGCCCCATTCATTTATTCATTCATTCAAATGCCCCAATATATTTAATGCTCCAATATATTTAGGCTCTCATAAAGTCTATGTAGAATATACTAAAATGAAGGTCTCATGAAGGCAATAGCTTGGTCTTAAAGCCATGGGCACTGAAAACATCCTAGGATTTCCTTCACAAATTTTGCACAAACCAGAGCCTTATCCAAATAGCAAGCTATTTGACCCAGAACGTTTTACTCCACCCTCTATGTAACTTACCTACACCATGGGCAATGATACAGTGGAAAATGTGAAAAGCCCAAGCAATCCACTTAAGGAAAGAAATCAAAAACTCTCCCCTGTCTCAGCCCATCATTTAATAATATAACATCATTGGAACTAGGAACATCTCACCTCCCAGCTCATATGCCCATATACTCTACCCCGTCAGGCCTGGGCATTCTGGAACAAGGAATGAAGCTTTGATTCCTTCTCTTCTCTTATTCCCTTGTAGCAACACCCACTGGTTAGAGCTTTCCCAGAAATTCTGTAGAATTTGACAAGAATCCAAGAAACATCTGGCTTTACCCAGGATTTGGGGCAGGGACCTCTATTTCTCAGAGCCAGTCATCAGATCAGATGTAATCTCCTTCAGGAGCCTTCCCCGATTCCTTCCAAACTTGCTAAGTCATCCTCCCCCCTGATCCCGTAATACCTTGAGCCTCTGTCAGAGCACCAAATGGTATTGAAATTATCAGAGAGCAGCTGTTTCTTCTTCTAAACTGTAAACTTCCTGCAGGACCACGTCTTATTCCTCCTCAGCATTTGCCACAGTGGGTGGTGCCGGGCCTACAATACAGAAGGTGCCCAACTGATGCTTGCTGAACTCCCTGCTCCCTCTCCATGCTCCCCTGCAATCATCGTCCTGAATGGCCAGATGGTGAAAACAGAATATTGTTACTAGAAATGATCCTCTAATACAATTGAAGGAACTATTTGAAAACCATCATTTGATATTCTGTTTCATCAATCTGACATCCATTTCATAGATATCAAAATGTCATTTCTGCTTTAAGAAACTGTTGTCCACAATCTCTTGATGCACCAGAGTTGGTCAGGATCTGGGTTCCAAGTTACAGAAACCGAGCCAGAACTAGCTTAGGCCAAATGAGGAACTTATTATAAAGATGCTGACATGTCTCATGGAGCCTGCAGACAGGAACGGAATGAGACTAACTTTGAGAACACACATAACAGGGACTCACACTGTCAGGAAACTCGAGTGTCATCTCTGTTCTTCTCTGACTAGCTTCCTTTGCTTTTCTGGTCCACATGGAGCAAAACGTGACTGCCAGTAGCTTCAAAAGGCATATTTTTATACCCCAAGAGCCCAAAGAAGACTAACTTCAGTTCAAGTTCTCAGTCCCCATGGGAATGACTCCGGTTGACCCAACTTCCTTCAACCAACCAAATGTAGCCGAAGGTGTTCAAAAATATGGCCAGACTGTTGGGCAGACAATCCCTTAGGTGTCCACCACAATTCCAAATTCTTTAGTTTCTAAGAAAAGCGTGTGGTCAGAAAGGACTATTTCAAATGTATTAGTAGTAGTCCCTATAAAATATAAAGTTTTTTAAGGCAATTATGTTCAAATTTATTTCTGTCAATAATTTATGGTACCAATAGAAAATTCCCAAGTAAATATATGTATGCTTTGTTTTAAAAATAAATTTATTTATTACATGATAATATTGACCGTTTACATAAACAATGTCATTTAGTATATGCAAAACAATTATAAAATACATTTTGAAAAGATATGATAATCTTTCAAGTTCCTTCTTGACATCAGACCTACCAAATTTCAAGAGACACCATCAACATTTTAGGATCAAAACAAAATTTCCAAGCCTGAATTGGCTTGAGAGATTCCATTGGTCAATCAACCTCAGTTCAGGAAAGAAGAAACATTTACAGCATTGTTTTTTATTTTTAAGTGCTCTAACAAGCATTTGTTTCAAGCGCTCTTAGTATCAAAGAAGACTAAGAGGGAGAAAAGAAATGAATGGGCTCAGAAGAGAGCTTTTGAAAATAAAGCATATACAACATAGATCTGTTGGATATAATCCTATTTTAAGGACGGGCGTTAAGTCAGGAGGAAAAGTAGATGTAGAAAATTATCAGTTGTTTGACTTAGCTCTTATTGATATTTGAGCTATTTCTGTGTTCTATAGAAGCACAGCCTCAGTCTCACTCAAGAGACAGTATGTGATAGAAGGTGATACACAACTTCACCTTTTCTCCGAATTCTCTGCTTCACTTTGTGTATGAAATGTACACTGTAAAGTAAAACTTACAAAGATTCTGAGAAAGAAGATGCTTGGCTGACAGGCACAACAGCCAAAGTGCAGCAATTTGGGGACATCTTCCATCATTTTTTGTGACTGATCCACCCAGTCAATGTAGAAAGTTCCATATTCTATGGAATATTGGCTAAATGTAGATTTTGCCTTTTCAGGTTTAAAAGAGTCTTTATCAAATGTACTGTGGAGTTAAAGAGTATTTGGCAAGGAGTATTTGGCAAATTCTAAATAATAGAAAATTATGGTCATGATTTCATTGCACCAAAATTCACCCAAGGGCAATCCCAGGTACTGTTTTTAAGAACAAAAATGAGGATATGGTCACAACCAGTCTCTGCATGGGCTCTGCTATGCTCTCGCTGACCATCACTCTGGGATAAATAGCCTATTCCAGTGCTCTTATGTATACTTTAGTGAGCATAAACACTTACCCAGGGCTTAAAGACTGTCAGGTATTTATTTTCCATCCCTATTCATTACCCTAGCTAAGGGTAAATCTGTTTGCTTTACTAATGTAAGAATTCATTCATGTCACTGAGAATTTATAAGGGAGCAAAGAAACATAAAAAAAGTCCATGTTACAGAAAGCATGGTGGTAACAGTAACATATATTCAGAACTCTGCGTTTGGAGTTTCTGCAGGAAAATGGCCCCAGCACCTCAGAGTCATGGCAAGACACAGTTCTGTATAAAGTCTTGGGTTATATTAGTGAGCTGGGTTGCACCAACTCGGATGAACAAAAATGATGGTTAGGAGCACAAACTTTGAACCTGGGTAAATCTTGATTTCAACTCCAGCTCCACTAATTCCTTACTCTGAAAATATACACTAGATTATTTAACTTCTTTGGGTCTGTTTCCATATAAGGGAAATGAGGATCATAAAAGATATCTCATAGGTTCCTGAAAGGATTAAAGGAAATAATATATTTCATACTCTTAGCACACGGTAAGTGTTGGATAAATGGTAGCTTTCTTATTAATTCAGTTCCTAAAATCTAAACTCCTTCTTACTTTTCTTTTTTGTTTGACTAATAATCCTGGTGACAAAACTCAGTTGGAAGTTTATTAAAATTTCCCTTCTTCACTGGGTGCTTTTTCCCAATTACTAAGCAATAATAAAATTACTTATTATTATTGCTATAAAAACAATAGTAAACAACACAAACTAATGTTACAAACAAAAAGTAAATACATTATTTAAAATTCATTTTTCTAGCTGTTTTCCTGAGACACATTCTGTCCATTTTCAAATGAGCAAGGCATTTTGTAGCTTGCCATCAGCCTGGACGTACCTTTATAGCCTGTAGGAATAAGGAAAAAAAGAGCAAGCCATTTAAAATAAATGTACTATGCAATTAAAAAAAAAATCTAGAGCCAGCATTTTTAAGTTTATTAATGTCATCCTGGTAGTAAGTTGGGAGAACATTATAATTTCTCGATAAGCATTTACTATACCCTATGAGGCTGCTGGGAGTTTCTGAGAAAGGAGATTCTTCGTACTGCTGGGAGAGCTATGGAAAGTCACTGCTGTCTCTTGCTGGACGGGAACAAGGATGCATGTGGACCCGATTGCTGCTGACCTCTGCTATCACCTAAAAGGAACTAGCCAAGGACCAAGCCAACTCTTGGAACAGTGAACAGAAAGAGAGAAATAATGTGGGAGCCTCTGGTTCAACCAAGCTTGAAGACCACTCTCCCTCTGGACTGTCAGTTCATGTGAGCCAATAATTTCCTTTGTTTTAAACCATTTTAGTTGGGTTTGATGCTATTACAGCCCAAACTACCCTGTCTGGCTGTGCTAGTTATGCTCCACGTGCTCCCTTGGAGCTGTTCTCTGCCCTGCTCTGTGCTCCAGGGTGCTGACACTCCAGATTGCATCACAAGGGCTCCCTTGCCCTCAGGTTCTGATTAGGTTGGGCTAGTGGAAGGCACCTGCTGAAAGTCTGAGGCAGGAGGAAAGGGGATGTGAGGTATTTTTTCTCCATTTCCTGCCTCCTTGCTTGTTTAGGTTCCGGCAGTGGCTATTTCTGTCCGCTCCTGACTGGTAGAACCTCCAGCGGCCAACCTCAGTGCCAAGGTAACACTCCCCGGTCCTTCCAGGCACAGGAGGGGGACAGCCTCCTGCCACTGCTAGAAGACAGGAGCCTTGATGTTCCTGTGGGTCCCCTCAACCCTGCCCCCCACCATGTCTCTTCATCAAAATCTCTTTATTGGATCATCTGAGAGGATTTGTGATTCCTGCTGGGATCCTAACATTTAAAGTACTTAGAACAGTGGTTGGCATATGGTAAATGCTGACTAAATGGAGTTATTATTAAAACATTGCTGTTATTTTCTTTCAGAGTAAGATGTCTAAACTAAAATACCTCTCCCTTGTGCCCAAAAATGAGGAAGAAAAAAATACAAAATAAGTACCACAACGATGCAGAATTAGAAAGCAGATTGATCTGCTACATCAGCAAAAGTATATAAAAAAGTCCTCTTCCCTCTACCTATCTCTGTGATAACATGCAAAAGAAAGATAAGAGAAAATCTTTTATTGGGCTTCAGATTCTATGAAAAAATGTTAATTAATTTTTAGATGTTTTTAGACAAATCAAATTCCAATCAATGATTTACTAGACATAGTTCAGCCCCATTTCACCAGGTAAATGTCACCTGAGTAGTTTCCCATGTACCAAGTTTACCACACTTACTGTTAAGCAATACTAGTCTCTTGAATATCTTCATTGATTGGAGTTATATCTTTGCCCAGAGTTTCCATTTCTTCCTCTTTCTTCTTTCTTTTACGACGTTTCCGAAGAGGACTTGGAAAATAAAGTATTAGAGGTTAGTATAGGCCTGTTAGTTCATTTCAGTGAAAATTTTAGTCAAAACAAAATTAATTTAGTGAACACAAAGTTAATCATCAAGAGAGCCTATGATCTTATTTCTAGAGTGTTAAAAATGCATAGATTCCTTTTTTTTGTAAATATTTTAGGTTCTCTCTCAACTCAACTCTTTCTCCAGGCTCAAATGATAGCCACAATAGGCAGCAGTATGGATAGAGTAGAGTTATCTAAATAGAATGAATATGGTACCCGATTGTTGATGGGGCTTGGTTAGCACAAGAAAATTTTTCAGGCCTAGTCATTTTACAAGATAGACTGATAAGCATTATTTAGTGGGTAAATAAGAATTATCACAAATTGGAAACAGACATAAGAAAACCAAGCAAGTGAGCGTAGTCTCTGGATATGTTAACAAAGCTTCTAGATACATTATTTAAGAAATGTATTAGATATTCTGGACTGCAGTCCAGTTTTCTTAAAGTATAATTCAAAATTAATGTAATAAAATAGGCCATTTCCCAGCTGTGCCCCAAACTTTGCATTATAAACACTCCTTTCTGCCATAAAGTAGGTAAAATTTAAAAATACCTTTTCAATTCCTTCCTGTAGAAAGAATCCTACAGATTATTTGGTTTAATCCTCTCATTAAAATTAAAGTTTAAAGATGTTAAGAAATTTGTCCACAGTCTCAAAGATATTTAATGGCGGAATTGAGACAAAAATCAAAGATTCTTGACTCCCGCTAACTGTGCTAAAGTTTCTCTACCAAGAACATTGTGAAGAAAGGAATCACGAGACACCCTCTTCTGGTGTGTTCCATAGCCCAAAAGTAATGTAGCAGTTTAGGAGGCTAGACTAGCTTCTCAAGACAAGAAGATAGCATATAAAAAAATGCCTTTTTAGCATACTATGTGGGAGTTTTGGTTTGATGAGTTTCCAAAAGAAACTAACTTAAGAACTGTACCAAGCCACTCTGTCTCAGAGAAAAAGCAAGGTGTTTCTTGATTCCCAAAGTTGTGGTACAAAATGAAAAGACAGGAAAAACAGTGTAATCATCTTTTGTAAATAAAATTCATTATTTTAATGTGGCCAAGAAAAAAAAAGTTTTTGTTTATTTCTATCTTTCAAAGTTATTCTGTCATGGTATAGTTTAAGAAAATGAAAGTCTTAATTAGCTTACTAACAAACCCATATAAAATATGACTGGCTTTAGAACTAAATAATTGGCTTTTTAAATTGAGATATAATTGACATATAACAATGTATTAGTTTAAGGTGTATTACATGGTTTGATATTTGTATATATTACAAAATGATCCCCACAGTAAGTTTAGTTAACATCCATCACCTCACATAGTTACAGAATTTTTCTTACTTGTGTTGAGAACTTTTAAGATCTACTCTCTCAGTAACTTTCAAATATATAATACGGTACTATTGACTATAGTCACCATGCTGTACTTACATCCCCAGGACCTTTTATCTTAGAACCAGAAGTTTACCTTTTGACCATCTTCATCTATTTTCCTCCTCCTTCCTTTTTTAAATTAGAAGATTTATACAAATTTTATTTTAAATTATAATAATTATGCTCAGAAAAATGACAAAAATCATGTATCATGTGTTTTATTTTAAATACTTCAATATAAATGATGGCAAACCTCAAAAAGTGATTTATTTAAATTAAAGCAAAAAGGAAAGAGAAAAGGTAGGAAAGAAGGAAGGAAGGAAAGAAGAAAGGAAAGAAAAGAGAGAGCAAGATACGCTTTCTCAGATTTACTTAAAATTAAATGTACAAATACTTACTGACAGCATGTGCAGATACTGACCACCAAAATGATGAAAATGACCATAATCGCTATCAAACAAATCACCAAAATCTGCCCTCTGTCTCCTCTCAGGTAAAACAAGTCAACTCTCTCACATCGTGCCCCAGTGTAGCCTTCATCACAGCTAGAAAAATAAAACAAGAGGAGGGCAACCAGTTGAAAACGCTAGACTTGTAAGAATCTCCACTATTTCTTTTTTGAAGGAACTACCACCATTTTCATTACTTGGAATTAATAAAGAACACAATTCCTTTAAAAATTTTTTTAGAAAGCTGTGCAACCACTGTGTTTATGAGTAATTTCACTTTCTTTGCTGAAAACCTGTCATCGCTTAAACATTATTAACAATATGTCTGGTATAAATAAACAGAGATGATGACAATTTATTAAAATTTATTTTGAAATTTTAGATTCTAAATTAAAGGGAGGGTAATAAAATTCCCTCCAGAGCACCCCCAAGCACTTAAATACCTCTAGGGATTTTGAATACCACAAGGAATTCAAAAATCTTCAGGATTTCCCATTTCATTGTGGGGCAATATGAACAGTTTTAGTGTGCCCAAGCTCTCTTATTATAGATCATCAAAAATTATACTGTTTTATATGATCAAACACGCAAACAGAGAAAACCTCATAAATGTTTTTCAACAAGATTTCTCTCTCCCCACCCCCCAATCTCTCTCTCTCTGTAACTTCTAGCCATCATTTCTAGTTCTACCATGAGCAGGGCTCACAGATTAGGTAATGCTCTGCTATTCACCACCTCCCCAACTACACCCCCCCAAAATGCAATAGGTCTTAACTTCTCCCGTTCCTTTATCTGATCCTCAAAGGCCACATTTTCAGATCCGTACACCATTCCCTCCACTCTCGTCTAAATGGCCCCCCTTTCTCCATGGCCTTCATAAAATGGAATGACCAAAATCAACAAGCTCTCCAAGTGGGACTGTCACTTCCCTCATTCTCTGAACTCTCTATCAATACGGTCTTAGGATTCGCCTCAACCCACCAGATGCCCCAAGTCTGAGGTGACAGTTATGGATCCATTTGACCAAGCCAACACGTGAATGAGCAACACTCAACAAGCTCAAGACTCAGTGATTTGGGTACTATCCATACTATTCTCTGAATTGTGTCAGACACTTAAAAAACACAAAAGATGTTTGTCTGAGGACTTTTCAAAACCAAAATTATATGTTGTAACACCAGTACCATTGCATTAACAAATATTTTTCCTTTTTTCTCCTGAGACTCATTCAAAACACAAAGAGATACTGGTGATATACATATTTATTTAAATCTCAAAAAAATGAAATTCTGCTTCTGGAGAAGATTTCTGTGCAACCTCGTTTGTTTTTTGCTTTTTGCTTTTAAGAAAGGATGTATTGCTAGGCCATTCTTTATCTTATGTTTGACAAAAGCCAAGGCAGTTAATTCCCACAAAACCTGTATTTCTCAAGTAAGGAGATCCCTTAATGCCAATATTGTAGCTGATACAATGCTTCAAAAAAAACAAAAAAAAACTAGCTCAGTCACAACCAACAATTGAAAGGTGAGGTTCAACGCAAGCAAAAGAGAAAAGACACCTAATGCCATCTACTGCAAAGGACCCCAGGATGTTGAGGGAAAATTGCTTCCTGCAAGAGAGCCAGGTATCTTCACTGCAAGGTCAAAATAACAGGAAGAGAGCTTAGAAATATTATGAAATATCAAAAATCTCTTGCACATAAGACTGGAACTGGGGGAAAATATACTTTTAATTGCATGTGTGGGAGGAAAATTTAAAGAGTTTTTTTTAAGGGCATAATTAAAATCTTACAAATATAGTCTCTTCCAATTTGCTTAAATGTTTCTCTAACAAATTTACTAAATATGACATTTTTAAACAATAACTTTGCCTATAAAATACACAGCAATTACTTGCTGCTCTTTTAGAACGTTTTTCTGATTCTAAGCTCTGGGTTCAGTGGCTTAGCCATGCTTTAATTGAATTTCTCAGTTAGCAGTACTTCCGTTAAGTTATAACCCAATGAAGCCATGCCAGAAGGTCAAACCTTTACATAGACTGTTATAGTGGCTCTCATGTTATTTCACTTCTCACCAAACTAATAATGTATCAGCTAATGGCCATTTCAGTGGGAGAGGAAGAGGCAAAGAGTGCAAGATCCTAGTAGGTGTTTATTAAATGCTTAGTAAATGAGTAAATGAATTTTTATTTAATAAATATTTTATAAAATAAAATTTAAAATAATTTTTAAACATGGCCACGACCCTTGAGGACTCTGCAAAATCAGGATTTGGAATCGCTGTTCTGAAATAATCACTAGACACTGTTCTAAGAGATTTATAAGTATTAATTCAATTGATCCTTATAACAACCTTTGAGGTAAGTGCTATTATTAACCCCATTTTAGAGATGGAGAAATTGAGGTATAGAGAAGCTGAGTGAGTGGGGCTGGTATTCAAAAGCAGGAAGTCTGGCTCCCAAGTTCGTGGCCCAACTACATTGTAATAATGCTTAAATAAACTGTGCTGCAGAAATAAATAAAAATTGTATATCTGGAAACAAATCATCCTCATTCCAAGAAAATACTGAGAAAACTAATGGGGAATTTGAGTTACTTGAAGCACACTCTGGTTTTTTATGTAAAAACAGTAGTCCACAAATTCCTATGATCCCAAGCAAAAGGAGATATTTCTGGCTTCCCAAAAAAGCATAGTCACCAACGGCAAGACAGTTTTGCCTGAATCCATGCCACACTAAGTCATCTGAAAGGTCCAGCCTACGTTGACTATCTCCCAGTCACCTCAATGGTACAATTTCTGGAACATTTACTCTGTGTTGGGTACCATGATAAGTATTTTGCTTGAGGTATTATTTTGTTTAATTCTCAACACTTGAGAGGAAGATATTATTATCCCCTTTTACAGATTACAAAACTGAGGCTCCGGGAAGGTAACTGACCCATTGTTAACACTGTTTATAATTGGTGGAAACAAAATTTTAAGTCTATCTGACTCCCAAATAAATCTATGTCCTGACTCCTACACTCTTCCGCCTCCTGTTGATGCTGTATCACTCCACCACCAAGAAGGTGTTTGCGGTTCAGATTAAGGCCTTAGTTTTGACATCTAGCATAGCATTAGATGAAGCACGATAGAGGGACTTATTCATTTATTCATCAGCCATTTCTCGAACACCTAGTAAATTCTAGGCACTGTGCTTGGCACTGGAATACAAAAATGAACAAACCATGAGCCCCGCCCTCTGTGAGCTCCCAGTCACAGAAGGGACATTCAAAGCAAACAACAGTTCCGCTCCAGGGGAGAAGAGCTTTCATGAAAGCGTGGCTAGGTCACAGAGGAAGGACAGCTAACTCAAGTCACTGCAGAAGTCCTGGAGGAGCTGAAGTTTGAGTTGCATCTTAAAACATTGGAAGAGTAAGTTTTGCAGACTATGAGAAGAGTATGTCTAATAAACCATGCAAAGTAATGTAGGGTTTTAGAGGAACATTTGGGAATATAATGAGAGATACGGCTAGAAAGTTAAGCCAGGATCAGAGGAGCTATGGAGGCCAAGGAAATGTTTTAACCTCAGACTGAGGGAGACAGGCTGCATATTGATCTCAGGCAGGTGGATTACACACTGTGGTTTTCGTTCTAGAAGGCAGCAGTGTTAAAGAACAATAACCTGCAGACACAAGGACCAGTTAGAAAAATGTACTGGGTTAAAGGGTATTAATATTTTTAAAACTCAATATATTCTCCCAAGCCAGTGAGCAACTAAATGTAATTTAAAAACAAAACAAAACAAAAAACCAGCTCTATCTTTTGCAACACACACAGGCACATTTTCCTTCTTTCCTTACATTAGCAATTCTTATTCTCCTCTAAGTATTATCCATGAATATTTATCTTTTTAATTAAATTTAATTATAATTAAATTTTGAAGTCCATGACTCTTAAACGTTCCACTAAATTAGGGTTTGGAATCACTGTTCTGAGATACTTATGAAAAAAAAATGTATACTGGGGGAAACAACACATAAGAGAATAAACTTTCTGTGAACTGTAGGTCAAATTTATACTTAAAAAATCACCTGACTCCTCTATAAGGAAACATCTCAGACAGCACTTTAGAGGGACACTTCTTTAGAAGAAAATGAATATTTAAAATATGTGAAAAAGTTGTTTGTGCCTGAGCAAAATTAAACTTGGACTCTTAATCTACTAAGAGTTGGAAAGAGCACTTTCCTTCCAATTCTCTGCTGTACTAAACACGTTTTGTGAATCTCTGTTTATAAATAGGACTGATTTCATTGCACTTAATTGACACTTGAAAAAGTAGCTTTTAATTTGGCAGAAATTTCTTCATATTTACATTAAGTCTGAACCACCTAACACATGCCAGAAGAATTTGTTTCCATTCGAACCACCTAGGAGCTTGTTCGAGCTGAAAAGCATCCTTAACATGGGACAGAAACAGTTTTGCTTGCGTAATGCAGCACAAGACACAGCCCTGCCTGGAAGCGGATCCGGACTAGCGCACGCTCATATTTTAGGAGGACAGTGTGCGTCAGCTGCTCCAGAAGTAGCTCCTGAATGGGCCCCTAAACAAGTGGCCCGGGGCCAGGACCAGGCGGCACCATGTCCCTGCAGATGGCTTGGTTAGCTCAGACTTTCCAGTCCTCTCCAGCCCCAAGCCAGCCGGCACCATTCTGCACCCCCTTGCTTGCTGGCTCAGGGCGCTCCACTTACACGCAGGAGGGCGTCTGCTCGGCCACCACGAAGCGACATCTCCCTTTGATGCAGTAATGCTTATATTGCTTGGGGCACCGCGAGAAGTGGCCTTTCCGCTTTGATTGTGTAGTAGTAGCTGAAAAATGAGAAAAAGTTCAATAAATCAACTCACTTTAAACACACGTGTACATTAGACTCATATTCCTATCTTTGCTGCCAGTTTTTCTACAGAACATAATACCCCCATCTCGCATTTCTCCTTCTCTCCACACCGGGATACAAATCAGATTTTTGTGGCCCCAAAATAGCTCTAGAGATTGTTGGGTAATGGGGGTTGTGGTGAGAACGCTTCATATTTTAACTAAGACTTGTGTTCACACTGGTGTTGTTTAAAGGGTAAAGTACAGTCATGGTAAGAGAGAAGGCTTTTCTTTCCACGAAGGTTATCAGAGCCATGGGGCTGATGGCATTGTAAAGAGAGAAGGGTGTTTTTCCTTTTTTTCTTTTTTATATCTTTTTAATTTAAACACTTACGTAGCACTTACTGAGTGCCAGATGTTGGTCTATATGCTTTATATGTATATTAACTCATTTAATGCTCATAACAGCCTTGCCAGGTAAGCACCATTCTAACACCTATTTGTGGATGAGCACAGCACAGCACATAGAGGCTAAGTCCCCTTCCCAGATCACACAGCTAGTACGAGGCAGAACTGGGACTGAAACCCAGGCAGTCCGGCCCCAGAGTCCATGCTCCTGATTGCTCCACTCTGGCTCACTGTCAAGCCAGCTGTTCAGCAGGGAGGTGTCATCTGCTCTCAGCTTGGGGCACCCAGAAGTCATGCCTGCCTGAATGGGAGATTATTCCTCTCATTTGACCCCTGGAGGGTTTCTTTTGCCCTGAAGAAGGAGGAAAATACTGGAAGCTTCATGGCCAGGATTTCAATCCTGAACTGACCTTCTTGTCTTGTCCTTATAGAGTCTTGATGGCCTAATTTTTCAACCGGGGACAGTAATATGTAACAGTTTCTCCATCGCTTACGTGTAAAGTTTCAACCAATAAGGACTGTCAAGAAAAACAATACAGAAATACTAACTAGCTGTTCCATGTATTGCTTCACAACAGACACGTGCCCACACCCAGAGGAAACAGCTAACTAGCCAGCTCCAGCCCAGGGTTGGACTTTCCATATTCATGGTATGACCAACAGCTTACAGGACTCAGACACCTGTGAAGCCAGGAAGACCACAGGGTTCGCTTCAGAAGGGCATTTCACTCTAGGCTGGGTACGGCCCCTGGTATCCCAAGGACATTAAAGAATCCTTTTATTAATACCAATAACTATTAAATTTCCTAATTAATATGAAATGAGTACACACAATTGTCCAGGGCCACCAGAGAGAGGAATCGCAAAGAACTCTGGATGATCTATCACAGCAAATTCCTGTGATGCCAGGTCACAGAGTTTCAGGAGTGGCAGAATGTTGCTGAGGAACTGGCTGACCTGGTTTTGGTTGGTGACTTGATTACCAGCCATGCTGACTGCTTGTACGTGCCAGATATTTGCTCCCATGCGTGCCAATCAACAGGAATCTTACTGAAATTTCTCCCAGAAATAACTGTACAGTGTCTCAAAGGCAAAGATCTGTATATTTTGGCAAATAAATCAATCAGTCAACTTCCATTCATTGAGTACTTTCTATTTCCAGAGTCCTGTAATAGGCATTGGAAAACATAGAAAAAAAAAAAAAAAAAGATACCCTATCTAACTATCTAAATTGGTACAATAGAACAAATTAAAAACAATGATATGCAACCAAGCAGTAAAAATAACCATAGTAACCATATAAACAGTTGTGGTGCTCTGGAAACAGTGGAAAGAACACTGGATTAGGAGGAAGGAAATTAGTCTCTCATTTTCAGCTCGGCCTTTCATTAGCCATATGGGTCTGGGCAAGCTAATTAAGCTGTCTGAGCCTCAGTTTCCTCATCTACAAACTGTTATATATAACACTTATAAGGAGATGTTATCATATACTTAAATGGCTGTTGAGAAGCTCAAATAAAAAATACACGTGGAAACGCCTAGCAGAGTGCCCAGGACAATAAAATTCTCAGTCAAAACTGAGTTGATTCTAGAATCTTGAAAATCTTGGCATTTCTAAAAGAAATCTTATATTGGTATGAAGAGTGCTTACCTAATTTAAAAAAATTCCTGGAAAATGTAGATTTTTAGGAGGAATTGAACACGCAGTTGAGTTATGGAGAGTATCAAGAGCAAAAGTTCAGGGTCAGACATATGCAGGCCTAATACAGGGGGTAGGAGGCAGATTTAGTGGGAACAGAAGAGGCGTGAAGGGGAGCAGCTGAGGATGGTGGTGAATGGAAATTAGAGACCTCGGATTTCAGTAGGCTGAAGTGTTGATGCTTGAAATACAAGGCAAGAGAAAGCTGACGAAGGTTCTTACAGATCGAATTAAATAGTATATGTGAAAAATACTTTAGGGCCGGCCCGGTGGTGTAGCGGTTAAGTTCATGCTTTCCACTTCGGTGGCCCCAGGTTCGCTGGTTCGGATCCTGGACATGGACATGCTCACCGCTCATCAAGCCATGCTGAGGCAGTGTCCCACACAGAAGACTAGAAGAACCTACAACTAGAAGGATATACAGCTACGTACTGGTGCTTTGGGGAGAAAAAAGAAAAAGAGGAAGATTGGCAACAGATGTTAGCTCAGGGCCAATCTTCCTCAAAAAAAAAAAATTACTTTAAATTGTGAAGCATTTTACCAGTGTATTAGATAGGAGAGTGCAGACTGGATTGCAGTAGAAGATGCCAAGGGCAAGAAGAATACCAGGCCATACCTGAGCCATGCTGACATACATCACGTGGGTGTGGGCCAGGGGGATGAAGGGCAAGGAGATGAATTTAAGAGGCAGCAAGACTTAGTGACAGATCCGCTGTGCTCCAGAGAAGCCTTTCCTACTTTGCGAAGCATACTTGACTTTAAATATAAGCCATCTGGCTCTGTATCTGAATTTTACTAATTCCTCTGGTTGTGGTGTCCCTTTAAATGTAGCTGGCCTTCCAATAAACGCCATACAGAGATGATACCAAAAAGCACCTTCACCAGCAGCTGCTGGATGCAGTGATTTGATCAGCCTCGGTTCCTCTAAGCAGCACAAATCCATGCCAGGGAAATTGTTGCCAGACTCTGTTTTGATCACTCACAGAGCTCTCTCCTTTGCCAAATAAGCATGCTCTTAAATATTCCCAGCATTATTTGGATTTAAGAACCCCTCCATGCCACCAAGCAGAAAATGTCCGGTGATTTCTCTGTGGAACTTGAAAACCTGGAAGAAAAATAAATCACACATACTGTCCCCCCCAAAACAGATGGGATCCTCTCTTCTTCTCTTATGGAAATGAGAAGGCTTATGAGCATTATCCCTTTCAAAATGCACCTAAAATTCCAGTTGCTTTCATCTAATATTCATCAAGTTCATATTATCTGAAAATTGAACAACTGTGAAATCTAACATTTTCTGCTTATCATGAGACCTGATGACACAGGGCAGGGGATGGCAAAATCTACCCTTCTATTCCAGAGATGTTTATCAAGAAGAAGGAAAAGTTAATCCCATGACACAAGAATGATTAGTCCCACGTATTGCGTTTCTCTGTGAGAAGTGAATGATATGGTCTTGAAAATGTAACAGCCATGAAGATTCCCCTGATACTGGGGGTGGTGGACCTTAATTGATCTTTTTTCCTCCCACCTTACTCTTTTCCAACCCACATTCCCAAAACCAAAACATTCCTCTGGGAGTGAGTCTGTCCCACAAAATTGCACTGGAAAACTATATCCACTAGTGGGCCAGATTCCAACCCAATCTCAGAAGTGGATGGGCACCACAGGTAACATATCTCAATCTCTTCGTGAGGCACTATCTTCCAAAGATTCTAAAGCCAATTAAATAAGAAACCACAAGGGTTACTGCAGGTCAGTGTGTGATAAAATCTGAATCTAAGAGTTAGCAAAAGGGATCAGAAGTAAGAAAATCTTTCTTCGATCATATGGGCAGGTAGATAAGAAGTAGTCATCTTTCTTGGGTCAGATGGATAGTTAGATGACATGTGATGGATTCTCTTGGGGCAAACTAAAATGGAGGAACACAGCAGACACCCAAATGACTTAGTTTAAATATGGAATTTTCCTCAATTTGACTAAACAGGATGGTTCCTTAATCTTTCTGTACATGATTCTTATTCTCAAGCCAAAACAGGTTTTATGATGCCTTTGTGATTAAAATTCTTCAGAATTGATATATTAAGTTTATTTTTCATAAAACCTTCACTTACTTATTGCAGTAGTGCTCATTACAGACCTATTTAATGATTTTGTAAATGATATTAATATCGGCAAATCTTCTGAAATCAACCCTGAGGGAAATGGACAATTATGATTACAATGTGTTTTTGTAATTCTCGTTACCATGTTTACAACCTCATAGTATCTCTAACCCCTTAGTTAGATACGTAGTTAAATTTCTGTGTAAGGGATTTAAGTGGGTGTGCCAAATTTTGAGATCGAGTTCCACAAGCGTTAACAAGGAGAGAGAGGAAGGAAAACAAATACCTATAAATTCACCTTCCCACACAGATATCTGTCCTAAAAAAGGGAATAACTAGTGTACAGAAGAGTTTAAGTGGGTGCAGCAGAGTTTGGGGACACGTTTCTTCCTAGTCTGTGAAGCAGAGCCCAAGGCTTTAATATTCTCATCCTAGACTTCCAGGCATCTTTCCAATAGGGATTTCCTCATTTTACAACCTTTTTAAGACAAGAGAAGAAGAAGAAAATTTTATATTTTTTAAGTTAATTTTTCTTCTTATCTTGCCAACTATCTCCCTGAGACAGGGGAATGTAAATTCACGATGCCCTTGAAAAGACGCAAAATTTGAAAATTTATTATAATTGAGGATTCCCATTTGTCTTACATTCAATGCCACTTCCTATAGAAATATGAAAGGGTCTGTCACTCCAGGAAAAGAAAAATAAATCTCATATATGTGCTTGTTAACCTTCCTGTGCTACTAGGATATTCTGATACAGGGGGCCAATCAAGTCAGATCAGCCTGTCTTCCAACCAGGAGGGTGTGCCAAACATTTTTGAGCTTACAGGAGTAGGACCTTCACTTAGAGCTGCCCTTTTTCATTCTATCCCTTTAAAGGAAGAAAAAAAAAAATCGAGTGTTGAGGTGTGAGTGTATTTGCATGTATTTCAAATTATTCATGGCTGGGGGGCAAAGAAAAATGGACAGGAAGAAAACTTGTATTTCCCTTTGTTTTTCAAGAGCAATATGCTATGGAATTCTTATTCGTACAATGCCTCCTTTACTCATTCTCCTTTGCTGGTTCTTCCTCATGTCCTTCAACATCTTAAGTTTTGCAATGAATTGGGACTCAATGCTTTCTCATCTCTTCTCTCTCCACTCTCTCCTTGGACGTTTCCTGGCTTTAAACACCCTTATGGTAACAATTCCCAAATTTATATTTCCATCTCAGATCTCTTTTCTCAATGCCACTGTCCCACTAATATCTCCACTTGGATGTCTAACTGGCATTTCAATTTAACACTTCCAAAATGGAATACCGGATTTTCCCTCTCAAATCTGGTCTTTCCTCATCTCAGTAAATGGTATCTACATTCTTTCTGTTATTCAGGCCAAAAATCTTGGAATCACCTTGACTTCTTTCTCTTTTACTCTACATCCAATTCATCAGAAAATCCTATTAGTTGCATTCAAAATACATGCAGAATCATCCCTCCATCTCTACTACCCTAGTCTAAGCCCAATATCATCTCTAGGCTGGAAGTAGTCTCCATGGCAACAACCTCTAGCTGGTCTTCCTGTTTCTGCCCTGCCCGTCTAGTCTGCACACAAATACCAGAGTGATTAAAACTCACTCAGAGTAAAAGCTGAAGGCTTTATAATCCTCAGCAAGGCTCCACATGACATCACCTCTCTGACCTCATCTTAGACCATTTTGTTCATTGCTGCAACCTTGGCCCCTGGAACAGGGCCTGCTGTAGGTGCTCATAAGTATTGGTGGAAAGAATAAATGCCTCACTCAAGATAGAAAATAACAAACTAAAAATGGAATGCTTAGAGATTGGGGCTATTTGAAAATAAAATCATAAAATCATTTAGAAATAGGAAAGACTCCTAAAGATCATCTGATTAACTTCTCCACTTTACAGGTTACGATCTGAGTCTTTGAAAGCTTAAGTGACTTACTCAAGGTCACACAGTCAGTCAATAAAGACAATCTGCTCCTGCTCCACATTAATTCCTCTTTCAAGAACCTATTGTCCTTATTTGGATTTACAAGCAATTATTTTTCAGAATTTCCCTCATATATTCAGCATTCTGCTCTTCCTATATGATTCTAGCAATTTAACATGGCGATTGACAACACACATTCTAGAGCCAGTCTCTCCAAATTCATGACAGGCTACTCTGCTTACTGTGTGACCTTAAATAAGCTAAAAATCTTCTGCACAGGAAAGAAACAATTAACAGGCTGAAAAGGCAACCTACAGCCTTTATGAAAAATAGCATGGTGTTTCCTTTAAAAATTAAAAATAGCACTACCATATGATCCAGCCATCCCACTTCTGGGTATTTATCCAAAAGAATTGAAATCAGGATCTCAAAGAGATACTTGCCCTCCCATGTTTATTGCAGCATTATTCACAACAGCCAAGATGTGGAAACAATCTAAGTGTCCATCAACAGATGAATGGACAAAGAAAATGTGGTATATTCAGATAGTGAAATATTACTGAGCCTTAAAAAAGAAGGAAATCCTGCAATACACAACAAACATGGATGAACCTGGAGGACATTATGCCAAGTGAAATAAGCCAATCACAGAAGGACCAGTACTACATGATTCCACTTACATGAGGTATCTAAATAGCCAAATCCACGGAAGCAGAGAGTAGAATGGTGGTTGCCAGGGGCTGGGGGGAGGGGTAAATAAGGAGCTGTTGTTCATTGGCTATAAAGTTTCAGTTATATAAGTTATGAAAGATAATTGCTAGAGATCTGCTGTACAACATCGTGCTTATAGTTAATGTACTGTATTGTACACTTAAAAATTTGTTAAAAGGGTAGATCTCACGTTAAATGCTCTTACTACAATAAAAAAAACTAGAAAACACATTTAGGATGATGAGGATGATTTTTTAACACTGTCAATCATCAAATTATGGAATAATCTCCAGAAGGAAATGTGAAAATGGCATCATTTAAGACATTTGAAACAAGACTGAAGAAAAGCACACAAACACATAAAGCTGGCCTTGTCCTTCTCCCTACTTGGGTGACAGGACCCACACAAGCATGACCTAAGACATCAATGGATTCCACAGCCTATGGGCACTCTCCAGACCACCCACTAGTGTGAGGGAAGAAAGAGGAAGATTGGTCTGGAACTGATGACTCACGTCAGGACAACTTGCTCAGCATGTTCCTGGCTCAGTTACAACTTCCCCAGGGTGCTAGGTAAAGAGCATTTAACACCAAGTTACCACACTCCCAGCTCAGAGAAGCTCCCAGGGAGCACAGAAGGGTCTTCTCCACTCCACCCTACTTTGGGAATTAGCCTGTGTTTTGTTTTGTTTTAAAATCACAAACAACCCCTGTAGAAGACCAGATCGTATAATCTATAAAGGACAGACAGAACCTTAGACTAGGGGTCAGTAAACTATGGACCAAGGACCAAATATGGTCAGCAGTCTATTTCTCTAAATAAAGTTTTATTGGAACACATCCAAGGCCATTCATTTGCATAGTGTCTATGGCTGCTTTCATAGTACAATGGCCGAGTTGAACAGTTGCAACAAAGGCTACATGGCCCACGAAGCCTAAAATACTTCTTATCTGATCCCTTACTGAGGCTGATCCCTGCCTTAGACTAATAACTTTGAGAATACTAATTCAAGCATCTCCCAGGTAAAATATGTAAAAATCATTGTCTTCTTCCCTTATTTTAAGCTATGGAATAGAAAAAAAATTTAATTTGAATAGAATATGTCAACTTTCTATGAATCTAGTGCAAGATATCCCATGCTAGAGTCTGGACCACACATCTGTGACACCCAAAATAGTATAATGAATAAGAATGGAAGCACTAGAATCGGAAAGACCTGAGTGTGAATCCCAGATTTCTTCATACCAGCTGTGTGTCCTTTGGCAAGTTGTGTATTCTTTCTAGGCTTCACCTTAAAATAAGTAAAAAACACTCTCCAGCTCATAGGGTTCTTGCAAGGAGTGAATGAATTACTGTATGTAAAGCACTTGGCACAGTGCCTGGTACGTTAATATGTGCTCAAAGAACTACCTAGTTTTATGATTACTATAACATCAAAAAATTAAAACTTAGAAAGATCAACTTTCCGAGATTGAATATAAAGCTGATAAAATACACATGCATCGCTTGTTAACCATTACCTGCGCAGTTTTCTCTGGGATCTCCACAGAGAAGGCCATCATTTTCAGGACTTCTGGTTGAATTCCCATCTGCCACAACACAGTGGAGGATCACTAGACCTTCAAGTTCAAAACAAAACCAAAATAAATACAAAAACTTGAAAATTTGCTCAATGTGAAATACTCTATAGAAGTCATATCCCATTTGTAAAAATAACATGCCTGTGGCTTCCATTTCCAAGTCATTCTCCCACAGTGAGTGAGGGGTACACTGGCCAGTTTGTCTCATTTTTCAAGCTCAGGGCTCAAGACAGAATTTTCAAGCCAACATCACTTACATCTAACTATGCACCTTAAGTGAGGAGACTTGATCATAGTTTGTGATGGAGCTTTATCATACAAGCAGAAAAATAGAGGGAGTTCTCAGCCACTGGATGAATATACTGATTAATTTCCAGGGAGAACAGATGATGAACTGATGAATAAATGAAAAGCAATAGTATATACTGGAGTATATGATAAAGTCATTTGGTTTAAAACTAATTCAGCCTGACCTAGTTTTTCCAAAAGGGCCTGATGTGGTCTGTTGAGCATACATTGTACATCTGCTTTAAACATTTACAATGTCCCAAGGACAAGAATGACACCCTTAAAGAAAGGGATGTAGCTTCCCCCCATATCACTATTTCCTTAAAGATAAGCATTTCTTCCTATAAACTGACCTGCTGCATTCACTTTGTGACCACTGACCTGCTGAGCACTGACCTGCTGTGCTCGCCTTGTGACCACTGATCTGCTGTGCTAGCTAAGTATATTGTGACAGTAGTAAAAGGGATATTCCTGTCATATGTGATGTATGCTCTTTGTTCCAAGACGGTATATAACCACTCTGTACACCCCACTTCTGGGGTGTGTTTCTTTCCTTGGGGGAAGGAAGCCCCTGGGCTATAGTCCTCAGACCTGGCTCATAATAAACTCACTCCAAATTTTGATTTATAGATTGATTATAGATTATTTGCATCAACAGAACCCATGTGGCAATGTCCTCTCTCCATTCCACAGAGACCCACTATTTCTTAGGTATTAACTATTGAGTGTGCTTCCTTATGGGGAGATGTGAACTAGATATTCAATTCATGGGAATTATTTAAAAATTTCAGGCTTCTCCAGCTAAGTATCTCTGTCTCTGAGAAGGATAGGCCTCATGGAAAAGTATGGGGAAGAGAGGAATGCTGTGTTATGATTAGAACAGTTTAAAATATAAAAGGTAGTCCTTGCATGGGTCCTGATTCAAACAAACCGACTATAAAAAGTCACTTATGAGATCATCAGGGAAATCTGACACTGACTGGACATTAGATAATATTAAGGATAGTTTAAAGTGTGATAATAATATTGTGGCTTAGGTTAAAACACAGAGTTCATATCTCTTAGAGATATATATTTAAATACGTATTAATGAAATTAATGTATGTGAGATTTGCTTTAAAATAATCCAACAAGGGAAGAAGGGTGCAAAGTGGTGAGGGAGAGGTATAGATGAAACAAGATTGGCCGCATATTGATAATGGTTGCAGCTGGGTGGTGGGTATACCAAGGTTTACTATGCTGTTCTCTCCACTTTTATATATATTTGAAAATGTCTATAATAAGAAGTTGGACAGGAGATGGGAGGGCAGAGGAGGGCGGGCTTGGGAGTTAGCCGGTCCTGAATTCATGACCTGTCTTTGCCACTTTACAGCCATGTGACTTTTAGGCAAGTTTCATAACCTCTCAGTTCCTTCAATGGCAAGGTGGAGATGATTATTATCTCTTCTTCAGAGCATTGTTGTGAGAGTTCAACCAGGTAAGTATGCAAAGCATACACAGTGCTGGCATGTAAACAATGCTCAAATTACTCATTATTATGTAAATGGTAGGAATAACTTGCCCACATTTATGCATTTCTAAACTACACATGTTCTCCAGTTCAATTCAGTTCAACAAACATCTATGAGCATGCAGAAACACACGGGTGGATGGGACATGGTCTACTCTCAAATTGCTGCAAAGCTACGAAGGCAGGTAATCAGCCAACCAATTAGCCATAACACAATAGTACCTAGCAAGTTCAAAGGCCGAAAGAGATTTCCAAAAGAATCCTTCAAAACAGAGATTCTTTTCTATCTATCATATTGGAAAAGGTTTTTTTTTAAAAAAAAAAAAAGAGGTGGTAACTAGCATTGGAAACAGTGAAGAGAAACGAACACTCAAATCCACTGGTGGTGGGTAAATTAGTGCTACTTTTCTGGAGGACAATTTAGCACTATATGCGCTAAAAGCAAAAAACTCAAAAAATATACAAGTGCTTAAATCCAGTACTTTCATTTCTAGTAATTTTTCCTAAGCAAATAATTCAAGATACATAAAAAATTTAGCTACAAAAATTCTCTATATGACATAGGTTATAAAAAATTAGAAATTACCCTAAATATCTAACAGTAGAGAATTGATTAAATATATATGGAACAATTTTTATGAAATAAAATGCTCTTCAGCCGGAAAAAATAATTTTCAAGCATTTCAATATATTCCTAAGTGAGAGAAGCAGGCTATAGAATAGTAATGTAGTGTGATCTGTGAGAGCATTTGTCTGCATGTGTGCATGATAAGTGTGAAAAATATCCATATAGATAAATAGTCGAAAAGGTGGGTAGGCAGGTAGACAGAGAGTTGCTCACACTGTTAAAAGACTTTTTCCTTAATTTTCCTTATTTGCACTTTCTAATTTTTTTACTAGCATATTTTGCTTGTTGCAACAAGAAAAAAAAGAGTGACTCAAATTTTTTTTTAAATGCAATTTGGCCACCAAATTTCTAGATTTTTCATATCTTTTACCCAACATCTGGCCTCCTTATTTCACACATAGAATAAAGCAGAAACAAGCAATCATTGAGGGCTTCTCAAGCACAGAAACTATGTATTACCCATCTTCGCAATCCTGGTATCTAATACAGACACAATGGATCTTAAATAAATGTTGAAACAATGAATAAGTCAATCTATAAACAAACAAACAAAACAACCTTCAAATTCAAAAAATCTCAATATCAATTTCCAGTGGAAAATTTCAATCAATTTCTTTATTCTTATAAAATAAATTTAATTCATTTTTAAAACCCCATACATGGGCTTTCTTCATGGGCAGAATCAGGAGACCTTAATTCTGGAGTTAATCTGTTCTAATAGTGGGAATTTAAAAAAAAAAACCTCTAAATCTCACAGAGATTCAACATCTGCAAACTGGGGATGACAATATCTCCTTCTCAAGGTTATTGTAACATTTAAATTAAATAATATAAGAAAAGGCACATAGCATACAAATTTCAGTCTACTCACCTTCCTTCCCACTATCACTTATAATTTATCTCATCATTCTCCACTTGTGCCTAACAGAGGGAATCTTGATTCCATTGAAACCCTGCCCGGTGCCTCCGAACCTTCTGGCAGCCTGGGTCCTGTGCTCAGGCTCTCTTCTGCTGAGGCTCCCTCCACACACTGGCATCAGCTGGCGAAGGGATGCCACTGGGGAGAGCCCCTGGAGAGGACCCCTGGGGAGGAGACATCCTCCGGCAAACCAGACACCAAGCACAAGGGCTGGGGCAGTGTGTACCAGTTCCTCCTACTCCCACCCAACTCTCTTCAGGTCATAAGCTGGTGGCCATGAACCAAATCCAGCCTGAAGAACCATTTTCTTGGTCTGCATGGTTTTTAAAAATTGAATTAATATAGTTCATATGAAACCTGGATTTTTCTGCTTCCACTGAGAAAACAGAAGGACTGGCAACATAAGTCTGAAACACCTTCATGGCAACAAGTGTCTGGAGCTAAGTAGCAGATGACTCCTTTAAATGCCACAGACCCCACCAGGCTTGCTGTACTCTTATTTTAATTGCCTAGACTCTGAAAGGCATTTGAGTTTGTGATCTGTATGAGGTGACTCAGAAATCAGAGAAATGCTCACTAAACCATCTACTCAATACTGAAGGCTACTTCAGAGAGAAAAGACACTCTTGTTCCATCCGTAATTCAACAAATATTTATTAAGCCCTGTGTTTGGTACTAGTGCAAGACACTGAAGGTTCAAAAATAACAGATGTTATCACTAACCTCAAGGAGCTCACGTTCTGGTAAGGAAGCTAGGTGCACAAATCTTTAACTCCAGTACAGATGATTCAGATACACCTAAACCAAGGTTGTGGCACTAGGTACGGAGAAGAAGAAATGACTATGAGAGATATTCACAAAGTGAAATATAAAAGACTTGGTGACTGGTAGGATAGGGTGGGAAGTGAGGAAAGAGGAGTCTAGGATGACTCTAGAATTTGTGGCTTGAGTGACTGGCTGGATTGTGGCACCAATCACAGATGTAAGGTATACAAGAAGAAAAACAGGTTGAGGATTGCTATAGACTGCATTTTTGTTGAAATCTAATCCCCAATGTGATGGTATTTGGAGGTGAGGCCTTTGGAGGTGATTAGATCATGAGGGTAGAGTGCTCATGAGTGGGACCAGTGCCCTTATAAAAGAGACCCTGGAGAGCTCCTTTGCCCCTTCTGCCGTGTAAGGACACAGCAGAAAGATGACTGTCTATGAACCAGGAAGAGGGCTCTCACTAGACGTGGAATCTGCTGGCATCTTCATCTTGGACTTTCCAGCCTCTAGAACTGTGAAAAATAAATGTTTGCTGTTTATAAGCCAACCAGTCTATGGTATTTTGTTATGGCAGCCCAAACTGACTAAGACAGGCATGCAGAGAGAAATTCAGTTTTGGACACTCTGAATTTGAGATGATTGTTTTTCATCTAGGAGATGGTAAGTGGATATTTGATCAGGAACTCAAAGCTACAGGTTCTATATTTAGGAGTCATGGAAAAATAAATTGGTATTTAACGCCATGGGAGTGGGTTCTCAGAAAGAACCATGTGAAAAGAGAAAGCACAGAATCCTGAAGAATACCAATAGGATAGAGGGCCAGAAAGAGAAGAGTCCTCAAGGGGCTGAGAAAGAACAGCCACAGAGCCAAGAAAAGATAATTTTTGTAGACGAGTTTGATCAACAGTATAAAAATTGATGGAGAA